GAAAAATTGGAGGGGTGCAATCTGGGCTACATGCTGGTTGAATTCAACCAGTGTATGGTCAGCTTAAGACACACGAAATCTAATGATGGCCACACACCTAGCAAACTGTATGTGCAACCTCTACTCAATCACCTTTAGATCTACCAAAAAGTATTTAGGGCTGGCTCTACCCAAATACTCCTCTTCAATTGTATCTGGTCAGGTAGGCTTTCGTACTACATAATTGTTCTTAGATCTAAAGAAGATTGTTCAATTAGATTGCAAAGGTGTATGGCCATCGTATTACTGTCTGTCTATTTCTTAGATTTTGAATTAAAAATGTATCTACGAAGTTCATAAAATCTTTTCATAGTACATTCAGAAGGACCTCTGTGGATGCAACCACAGAGAAGAGTGGGTGGGGGGTGCCAGTACAGCACCATGGGCAGTTGCTCTTGGTGGGATGTGGTTAGCACTTCTGCCTTGCAGCACTGGGGGGACAGTATCTGCAAGGAGTTTGCATGTCCTCCCTTGTCTTGTGCGGGTTTCCTCCGGGTATTCTGGTTTCCTAGTTATTGGAAAAAGAGGTTTTCCCCAGGGAGAGGGGATCCCACCATTCTTTACAAAATCTACGTAACAATTAAACACACCCACGGGGCTGAATGAGAGAAATCTAGACTTTTATGGTTAGCTTAATTGATTATTGGACTGCAGTCAGTTTAAAACACTTAGGGGGGATTTATCAAAACCAGAGCAAACAGAATCTGGAGCAGTTGCCCATGGCAACCAATCAGCATCTCTCTTCAGTTTGCTCAGGTAAGATTTGAAAATGAGAGAGGGAAGCCGATTGGCTGCAGTGCAAATCTGCACCAGACTGTCTGCTCCAGTTTTGATAAATTCCCCCCTCTGTACAACTGCTTCAACAATAAAATGGTAAGACTATGAAACGCGAGATTGTTGGTACATCCTCTATCTGGCTGCATCTTTATTTCTGTTCAGTTAGGCTTCAAATTCAAATAAAAAATGAATTCCAGGTGCCCCACTAATGTGTGTAGCAGTGTGTTATTTTCTGAAAATATGACAGTTGTTTATCACACGGAGTATTTGTGCAAAGGTTTCACCACATACATATTCAGCCTCAAATATTTATACAAGTGAATTTTCATCACTCATGCTTTGGAGCTGATCCAAAAAAGTGAAATACACTTGAACCTAATGTGACTCATTAACCCTATCCTGATCTTCAAACTCAGACATAATTCAAGCACTTAGCAATAATAACTTAACTCATGGCTTCCACAACAGAGACTGGCATATATCACCCACCTTGGCAGTTGCAGATCATGACTCCGAACCTTGCCTGGTCTCAATGCACAAGGTAAATGTCCAAGAAAAATTGGGTCCACACTGCTCATCTGCTCAGTCGTAGGTTTGTTATCAGCTCATGAAGCACCTCATGAGAAAGTACTTTCACATGCAAAATGTGTCAAGGATTTCATATTGATAACTGACTGTGCTATTGAGCTTGGAAATCTATGGTCAAGCAAATGAGCAATGTGGACTCATTTATCATGTGCTTAGCAATACTATTATAAGGACCAGAATGATACTATCATGCAGATATCAATGTAGTTTATACTGTCACACAAAGAATACAAAAATATGGGCAGTAATAGTTTACAGGGCAAAATATAAACTTTGTAAGCATAAAGCTGTCTAGCCAGCAAATGAAATCTATTAGAATCTGCTTCAAATATGTAATAGAAAGAGAAGTATCAGGTGCATAGATCTGCAATTAAATGTGAAACTACAACAATGTCGGGTCTGGATCTAACCTATGAGAGTGACAGCAGTGGGACATACTGTATGTACCAATGAATAACATGAGAGCACGATTACTTGGAGGCTTACCTAGACATAGGTAGTAAAAGCCAGTGTCAGCTATTACACTGCTCTACCAGATCCCTATGTGGTTCATAGAGCTTGAATTGATGTCAAATGGCGTCATTAATACAAACACCCACACTAGGGATGCAATGATACTGCTTTTTTTTCTGTATCGAGTATGTGTAGCGATATTTATATTTCGGTACTCGTCGATAATGAGTGCCAGTACCGGTACTTCCACTAGCATGGAGCTAGCTTCCCGGGCAATCAAGAAGCTGGGCAGCGGGTAATGACGCACCACCCAACTTCTTGATTGCCCAGAAAAGCCGGTGTTCTGTTGAAAGCTCCGACCCATTGAGATCTCCTACTGGTGACGTCACATCCGGTGACTCTGCAGTAGCAGATTTAGACCAGATGAGGTTAATGCGTGTGCACAAGCAGTGCCAGTGTTAGAATCCTGATTGAGTTATTGAGCTCCCGCCACTGCCCCTGCGCAGCTTCACAATCCCCATCAAGTCCACACTTTTGGAGCAGAATAGGACACCCCCAGGACTTGCCAGGTATTATATTGCAAGTGATGCTTACAGTGACCTTCAGAAAGGTGGGCTGCTCCCCAGTTGAACTGTTTCACCAAACAATTTCATATAAGTTCTATGCATCTAAACTATGAATAAGAACTCAAGGCCATTTGCAGGGCCAAACATGCTCAGAGTGACTGCAAGCTCAGTGAAATAACTAGAATAACCTCCAGCTACTTATATTGTGCCTGCCATTCCTGGTCAAGGCAAAGACAGAAGCCAAGGACCGCTGGATGTCCAGGGGGCCCAGTTATGATATTCATGCTTCTGCAGTAAACCATGAGAATAGTGCATTTCGTCTATTCTCCCGTTCCTAACCAATGAAACCACAAAGCAACAGACCCACTCACTTGTTATCTCTCACCTCTATTGCAACTCCCTCCACATTGGTCTACCTCTACACAGGCTATTCCCCATTCAGTCTATCATGAATGCTGCTGCTTGACTTAACCACCTAACCAGGTGCTCAGTGTCTGCAAACACCCTCTGCCAATCTCTCCACTGGCTTCTAATCACACAAAGGAAAAAATACAAAATACTGTATTTACAACCACATACAAAGCCATCCACAACTCTGCCCCCGGCTATATCTCCAACCTTGTACCACCAACCCAACCTCTCAAAGTATCACCCTAACCATCCTCTCCACTCCTCCCAAGATCTCCTGCTCTCTAGCTCCCTCATCATCCCTTCCCATGCTCCAGGATTTCTCCAGAGTCTCTCCCATCCTCTGGAACTCCCTACTCTAACCTGTCCAGCTATCTCCTATTCTGTCTGTCTTTAGGCAATCCCTGAAGACTCATCAGAATTATCACTTTCTCAAACAATTCATCCCCACACAGCTACCTCCTCTTGTATCACTTGCCCCTCCCTTTTAGAATGTAAGCTCTCACAGGCAGGGACCTCCTTACCATCGTGTCTTGATTTGTATTGTAACTGTATTATATTGCAAAGTACTGCGCATATTGGCGCTATACAGTGGCTTCACGAGGGGGATGCGGTGGGCGCAGCCCGCACCCGGGTGCCACCAAAATGACTGGCAGTCATTTTGGTGTCACCCCCTATGAAAAGTTTGGGCACTCGGTCACGGACCGAGAGCCTGACAGTGTCAGGAGAGAGGAGGGGAACCAGCAGCATACCTTAACCCGCCGGGTGAACGTCCCCTCCTCTCTCTGCCGGCGTCCATCACCAAGATAGCCGCCGGTAAGCGTCAATAAGTTGACCGCACATGCGATGACGTCACAGCGAGTGTCACCCGATCTCCACTGCGGGTGACAGAGCCTCGGGACGCACCTGGCGATATATACAGTAAATCGCGAATAATAATAATCATAACATTAATAAAAGCTGTGCATCTGCCTGTCATGGCACAAGGGAGGATGTCCATGTAGACAGTTGGTGTCTTATAGGACGTGCCATGCCAGTAGAGACAATGTAAATGTTGTGGCTTCTTTATGCCTATTGCCATTCCTATTATTGTAATTAAAATGATAGGTGGATGGCAAAGCTGCTACTTTGTCTTGATCCATATCTGCTCTGAACCATGGGAGCAGCTGCATTCTCAGACAAGAGTCTGGTATAGACTTTAAGGAGGAAGCCCACGTTTATTTTTGTGTCTGCGGGGTTACCCCTTTAAAATCCACACCAGACCCTTATCAAGGATAAGGTTCTGGTACAGAAAG